TCTATCACATGGGAATACCAGTTATTACTCAGTAGGTGAGAAAGTCCCCACAGATTATAAATTCTGTACTTGAATGAGGACTAACTATTAATCTTCTTATTCTAGTTATCAGTAAAGCCCAGAGGTACTAGCTAACCAGACACCTGGGAGTTCCCAGAAAAATATTAGTCAGGGTTCCAGTAAAAGGAGCTGTCTCAGAGTAGGTTCCCAATAGACCAAGGAGGGGTAGAGCTGGGGACATTAACTGGGCAAGGTAAAGCCCTAATCTGGCCCCTTGCACTGAGGCTGAGCTGACTAAAGGACAGAAAGGAAGGAGCTGGAGCCCAGCTGGGCTGGGCAGGTGAGCTGGGGAGTGGCCTAGGCTTGACAGATAAACAAGGCCACCTTGCAGAGGTTTCAGATATGAAGGCTAAAAATGAAGGGTCCAGGACCATTCAAAGCCTAAGGAAGGACCAGGTTCTGGGAGGCCAGAGTTTAGGGAGACAGACAGTAAAGAACCCTCACTCTGTTATGAGAGGGTCCTCAAGAGAAGGAAGCTGGGCTAAAATCTGTTTGGCCCAATTCATAGCCTACCTCTGCTGCCATGTGATGGATCCTCCCTGGAACTCTTTCTTCCTAGCTGCACAAAAACAGAGCTGGACCACAAGCTCCCTTAGAGCCCCTCTTGCTTTGAGTGCTTGAATGTCACCTTAGCTGTCACACTAGAGAGTCCTGAGGGACTCAGAACAGCAGGCTCCAGTCTCTGCCTGTGGAGGAGGTAGACTCAATTCCTGACCCCTAGGTCAGTGAGGGGGACTGACATGTACATAGACAACAACATCTAGAATTAGCTGGACTGCCCAAGAGAGAACGTAAGGGTTTGTGGAGCCCAGAGAAAACCCCTGAATCACAATCTGAGGTGGGAAATTTGAACAGAATCCGGAAGGAAGAGCATATGCCTGGAGGAAAGGAAAGTAGCACAGGAGATGGGCCTGGTAGGGAGCCAGGAGTCTGGCTTCTAGACTAACTCTGCTCTCAGCTTTCTGTGTAACCTTGAGCAAGCCACTCCTTCCTGAGCTTTTTAAATTTGAAAATGGGAGAAAAGGGAACTGGATTGCATTGGCTTGCTCTGAAGGACCCTCTGGCTCTGATGCTTTGTAGTTACCCAACATACCTTGTAGTTATCCAAATTTACATAGTCCCAGTCAGCAGACAGGAACATTTCTGAGTTGTGGCAACTTACAAGGGCATGTGATTTGCATCAATTTAGATAGGAAAATAAAGGAAAATAAAAATTCCTACTGGCTGGCCCTTTATGGGATAGGGTTCAATTTAACTCAGATTAAGTCTTTCATTCGTTTCACAAGTTATTTGTTGAGGGTTTTTTTTGAGCCAGGTTTTGCCAGGCACAAGTAAAAACACTGATGCTCAAGGCATGGGGCCTAGCTGCCATGACCTTTTCTCATTGTGACCCATCAATCCCACTCATCCATTAGTCTTTTTATTTTTAAAGTTTTTGTTGTGAATTAAGCGATATTTTACATGGGAGAACATTAGTTTTACACTCATTCTATTGTATTTCATTTCATTGAAATGATAATAATCCCCTCCATGCATCATAATTCAACAGTATTTGCTTCTATTCCCTCTAGTTTTTTTTGTTTTGTTTTGGATGTACATCAAAACACTCAGGAATATACACTCATTCAAACAACCCAAGGGCACACCCTGCAAGCCTGCCCCCTGGCCGACAGCACACAGCCCCTCTCCCTCCATGAGTCTAGAGTCCTCAGCTGCTCCATCTCTCCACGTCATCTTCTCTGCCTCCATCTCTGGCGTCACCAACTTTAGTCTTTTTTTTTTAAAGCAGTTTTTTTTTTTTTTCCCCAGCAGTACAACCTCCATTTCATAGCCAGTCCATCTAAAAACATTTGAAAGTGTCCTCAGAACAAACCAGAAATTTATCATTAGCTCTGATACCAGCCTAAGAAATGGAGAGAAGAAAAATAAAAGCTTGGACCTAATTTTCCTCCAGGTGGAAACCAGAGCTTCCAAATTCTGCAGGTAGCCTGGCTTGATGGAAAAAGCCCAGGCCCAGGGGCAGGAGGCCTGGTTTCCAGGACAAACTTTGACACTGATCTGTTGTCCTGGAGCTGGTCCCTCTCCTATCCCAACTGATTTCCTCATTTGTGAAAAAAGGAATAGAGTTTTACTATCTGTAGGGCCGTTTCTATTCTTATATATTCTGTGACACAAGAAAGGCTTTGTTAGAAGAAGGCGAAGCTGGAGAGAGTTTGGGGGGAAACCTAGGGAGTTTTACTCAAGGGATCACTAGGCTAGAAAAGGCAGGAATCCAAATGTCAGCATAATCTGCCCCTGGAGCATTTAGAAGAACAAGCCCAAAGTAAAGGGTGAGTCAACATTTTCCCTGAGCTGTGTCCTGTATGTTGAAAACACTCACTGTGGACGTGCAGTGGCCACCAGCCTTGGGAGTTGTAGGTAGGGGGGAATGGTAGGGAGAGTGGAAGTGGAGGGAAGTAAGGCTGAGGAGGGGAAGGGGGGCTGCTCTACATAGATTCTTGGTATTCTTTCGTGACTCTCGTTCTCAAGACTTTTCAGTTTTCTGTGGTGCCTTCTGAGATGGGGCCAAGGAAGGGATTCTTCAGGGTAGTGGTCATGAAACGGTTAAATAGTAACACTTGCTGATCTGCAGTAGCCAGGAGGAGAGAACTTACACAGTGATAGGAAAGTTTCCTGGAGTTTGTTATTGCTCAGCAGGAGGTAGGATTCATCGTCAATTTGGATTAAATTGGGGCTGAGAAATAGAAGAGTATACAATGCCTTCTACCAAAGGCATATACAATACAAAGTATATACAGTACTTCTGCCCCAGTTTGCAAGGAAAAGAGAAATTTCCTGGGACAAGGGACTTTCCGTGCTAAAATGAGACAGTTCAGGCAACTCAGGGGGCAGGGGTTGGGACTGATCACTGTATGGCAAAGAGACAGGATACAAAAAGTCAGTTCACAGAGCAAAAGCATTCAAGTTAGGCAAAGACAGACAGAGTCCCTGAAAACCAGACACACAGGAAAGGAAGCCATTTTGGGGTTAAACAGGCAACATTTGTTAAACATTTCTCCCTATGAATATTACAATGAAGCTATCACGAGAAGGGAATCCTTAAGCTAATGGAAATGTCAAAGACAAAAGGTGCTCATTTAAGAGACACAACATCCCAGCCCAGATAGAGTGAGGTAAGATTGGAATGGAACACAGAAGAGAAATCGTATCCAGAGCAGAACAGAAATGATTCCTTCAACCATTCTCATCAGTTTCTTAGAACTCATGAACTGGAAGTCTTTTTATCAGAGGCTGTGGGTAATCCTCTAGTTTCAGATGTACAAAATTAGAGTCCAGGGAATATTAGAGTAAACCACATTGAGTGTTCACTCCAGGGCTGGCTTTATTCACTTTCAACCAATGATTCTGTTGTCTTCAAAAGGTCTTAAGCTAAAGAGTCCCATTTGGAAACTGTTAAGAGATATCTGGATTGGATGGATTCATATCAAATGACTGCAGTCAAGATTCTGGGCTGAGACTGGGTAAAATCTAGTAAGTTACTAACATTACCATACCTAGAATGTTTCTTTATCTGCCATAGCAGGAACAAGGCTAAAAAATTAGACATCCTTAAAGGGGCTACTTGAACTAATAAAAGAGCTTCTTGATTTACAATTGGCATTTGAAAATAAATGGATACTTCTCAAGATTTTTCTCTTGGATGGATTAAATTTGCCACTCAACCTCACAATTTTGTTAAATGGTTTGATTATGTTGCTTTTTACCCGTTTAGAACCAGTGAATCTATGGTTAAAAGGCTGTTTAAAGACTTTCAGTCTAGCTTCTATCCAAGTATTAAATATCCTCTAGGACTTCTGGTGTGGCGCTGTTGAATCAACACTGGACTGCAAACCACAAGGTCGGCAGTTCAAACCCACCAGCTGCTCCTTAGAAACCCTTTACAGAGTTGATATGAGTCTGAACAAACTCGATGGCATTTAACAACAACAACATAATCCTGATATAAGGTCAGCAGTTCAAACCCACCAGCCGCTCCTCAGAAACCCTGTGCAAGGTTGCTATGCGTCGGAATCGACTCAACAGCATTTAAGCAACAACAACGTAGTCCTGGTGTGGTGCTTTAAGATAAGCACTGAATTGCTAACCACAGATTGATAGTTCAAACCCATCAACTGCTCCTTGGAAAACTTAGTGTTGTTGTGAAGAGTTGTTTGTGGTTCAAACCTACCTTGTGGTCCAGTGCTTATCCCACAATGCCACACCAGGACCCTAAACAGGATCGCTCTGAGTCAGAATTAACTTGATGGCATATAACAATAACAACAATAGCATTCCTGGGGTAGCACTGTAGAATAAACACTGGACTGCTAACCACAAAGTCAGTAGTTCAAACCCACCAGCCACTTCTCAGAAACCCTATACTACCTATATAGGGTTGTTATGAGGTGGAATTGACTTGATAAAATTTAACAACAACAGTAGCATTCCAACAAAAAAGAGTGCTACCTTGCATAACTGAAATTACATGGAATTCACCAATTTTCCTTATAAGACAGGATTGTAAAAACATTATTTCAGGTATGAAGCTAAACCCTGGGTCCCTGAAGCTGCTAACCCTGGCCCTAGTTCTTTGTGTTACCCCTTCCCCTCAACAACTCTTCAGTGTTTCTGTCTACCTCCCTACCACCTCTCTGCTCCTCACACAGCACTCCTCCAGGCTAAATAGGCCCAGCTCTTTCCACCACTGCTCATAGACACCTGACCATCTTGGGTATTTTAATTATGCCATAAATTCCTGCTACAAAGAATGTTGGGACTTAGATCCATAGTTGGAAAGAAAAAGATGAATATTCTAGTGACTATTTCTCTGATTGCTCTGTTTTACGGATATGTCTTGATTTTCCCAGTGCCTGTCTACAGACATCCAGCCCCAAGTCACTATGGAAGCCAAAACATGTAATGGATCAATTAATACCTCACCAATCTTCTACCTGGTGGGCATTCCCTCTCTACCAGAGTCCTTCTTCCTCCCTGTCTTCTTCTTTTTCCTCCTAATCTATTTGCTCATCCTGGTGGGTAACACCATGATCCTCGTGGTTGTAGTGGTAGAGCCCAGCCTCCACAAGCCCATATACTTCTTCCTGATCAACCTCTCAACCCTGGACATCTTCTCCACCACAACCACGGTCCCCAAGATGCTGCCCCTATTCCTGCTGGAGGATCGCATTCTGAGCTTCTCTGCCTGCTTCCTGCAGATGTACCTTTTCCATGGCCTCAACTGCTCAGAAGCCTTCATTCTAGTGGTCATGGCCTATGACCGCTATGTGGCTATCTGCCGCCCACTGCACTACCCTGTCCACATGACCCCACAGACCAATGCTGCATTGGCAGCCAGTGCCTGGCTCACTGCCCTCCTCCTGCCCATCCCAGCAATGGTGCAGACCTCCCAGATGGCAGTTGGCCCTGTAGCCCATGTCTTCCATTGCTTCTGTGACCACCTGGCTGTGGTCCAGGCCTCCTGCTCTGACACCACCCCCCAGACCTTCCTGGGCTTCTGCATCGCCATGGTGGTGTCCTTCCTGCCCCTTCTCCTGGTGCTTCTCTCCTATGCCCGCATCCTGGCCTCAGTGCTTCGCATCAACTCCCTAGAGGGACGCACAAAAGTCTTTTCCACCTGTAGCTCCCACCTCCTGGTGGTCAGCACCTACTATTCATCCATTGCTATAGCCTATGTGGCCTATAGGGCTGACCTGCCCCTCGACTTCCACATTATGGGCAATGCGGTGTTTGCCATTCTCACACCTGTCCTTAACCCCCTCATCTACACCTTGAGAAACAAGGATGTCAAAGCAGCCATCACCAAAATGGCATGTCCTCAGGCTCCTCGGTATTCTGAGACCTTTAGCCTTTAGATACAATTAATCTAGATACCAAGACATCAACAAGATTGCCTAGCACACAATACCTACTGCCACTGAGTCCATTACAACTCATAGTGACCCTACAGGGCAAAGTAGAACTGTCCCATAAGGCTTCCGAGGCTTTAAATCCTTAAGGAAGCAGACTGTCACATATTTCTCTCATAGAGCAGCTGGTTGTGTTTGAACTGTGAAACATTTGTTAGTGACCAAGCATTTTAACCACTGCACCACTAGAGTTCCTCACTTAAAATAGGAACTCGATAAGTCTTTAAAAATGAATAAATGAATCACAGCAGCCTATATTGACTTCATTCATTTGGGCAGACAGCTACAACCTATTTCTCAAATATGGAACCCAAAAGGCTTCCCACTGGCGCTACAGAAAAACTTTAGTCTGCAATTTTCATCAATTTATGTGATGAACAAAATTTCATCAATCATTTATAGCTGTTTTTACTGATACCCTGAAATATATCAGACCTTGTGGTAGGTGCTAAAAACAGAAATAAGCCAGACACAGTTCTTGCTTTCAGTATATCCATAGTCTAGGGGAGGAGTCAGATTAAGAGAAAAAAAGTATAAGACAGTACGAAAAGAGAAGCAAAAGAGGTCATAAGAGCCAAGAAGTTAGCATTTTCTCTTCCATAAATTCTTAAATCTTTGGCATTGGGAATCACTTATTTGTTAGTTAAGTATTCATGGATCTGCAATAAAATGGTCTTGAAATTATTACACAGGAAAGCTACTAGCTGCTCCAACTGGAGGTGGTATGGTGGCCATGTCCCTGCCCAATAAGTGGGATTCATTTTCACTGGTAAGCTCATCAAACAGTGATCATTCCTGCCAAAATGGTTTAAGCTTCAGCTCCTCTCAGAAATCACACAGTCAGAGGGGTCAAATCAGAGCAAAGATGGGCAGAACTTCGGTGCCCTTCAGAATTGCAGCGTTCCCAGAAAGGAGAGAGTGAATGGGTCAGATAGCTAGCATTTTGCAACAGACTTTGAAAGGAAATAAATCTTCCTTAGCAAGTTGTGATAAGGCTTTCAGCATTTTGACAGAACACTAGATAAGTGAATGAAAAGAGTGAGCTTTTTTAGTTGCTATTGCAAATAGTAGTAAGGGTTTTTATATGAGGAAATGATATCCTGGTAGACTTATGTGGATAAGAGTGTGGGATCTGCAGAACTGGACTATGTGAGAAAATAGGAATCCAGGTTAGTTCAGATAAGAGACTATTTTCTAGTCATCTAGTGTAAGGATTCTCAGTAGTCCTTTGTAAGAATAAATTGCAAGTTAATTTCTTTAGATTTTGTGCCATAATTTTATGCTTAGATTGCAGTATAGTAAGCTTGTATTGGTTTTAGTCTAGAGTATGGATTTTATCATTCTCAAACTAAACTTCATATTAACTTAATAAAATTCCAGTTAAAGAGTCTGTCCAGATATCACAGATAGATTAGTGCATTGGGTAAAAACCATCTGATCTTACTGTTAGCATTTTGATGCTCCAGGTAAGACAGACCAATTAAACAGACTTTCTGCTCTGTTACAGAGTATTATCTTAGACAGAATTACATCTGCTGGGGTGTGCTGTGTGTCACTGTCATGTTAGCAATGGAGAAAAATAATAAATACTGTTATGGATTTAATGATAACCCAAAAAGATATGTTGAAGTCCTAACCCCTCTACCTGTGAATATGACCTCATTTGGGAATAAGGTCTTTGAAGATGTGAAAATGGTGTGGGGCCATGCCTGACTTCCTCTAGCTTCACAAAAGGAAAGGAAAATCAAACTCTCCGTCAGCTCAAGGTCAATGCCTATGAGGTGGAGGTCAGACATGCCTCTACCCTCCAATCTTCTTTATCCTATTCTGACACCACATCCTATCTATGGCGCTCTACTTCTTTGCTGGGTTCAATAATCCATTGCAATGGCCACACAGAATTCACAGACTATACTCAGGATTATGGGATTTATTAGGGAGGTGAACTGCATGCAACTCAAGATTAGAAACAGCTCAGGATACAGCAGTTCTCTGGTCAGGATTACTTCTCATTCTTGGCCTCTCAACCACACGGCCCCTTGGCCAAAGCCCCTTGGTCTTTGCCCGATTTGGGCAAGTGTTATAAGCTCCTTTAACTCTGCAATAAATGTCCAGGGGGTATCCAATTCTGTAAATTAGCCTCCTGCCTAAAGGTATTCAACTTTACTCTTTTTGAGGGTTAGGAAATCCACTGCTCTGTCTCACCATGTGCTGCCTCTGCTGTCTCTATTCCTTGTGGTCAAAGGATGCGTTCTGTTCATGTTTCTTCTTTCGTAATGGTTCTGAGATCCTCTGTTCCTGCTCCTGAGATGTTCCTTTTAATCCTAGCAGGATGGAAAACTAACCAATCTCCATATTGGGTGACCATGCAAATAGAGTGTACAGGACTCTGTACCTTATTTGCATGCTTCCACCCAATCATTTGGGGAGTACAATGGCTCTGTAGGATAAACACTGGATTGTGAACCACAAGGTCAGTGGTTTAAACCCACCAGCCACTCCACCGGAGAAAGATGAGACTTTCTGCTCCCACAAAGATTTACAGCCTTGGAAACCCTATACAGGGTCATTCTGAGTCAGCATTGACTCAACAGCACTTAACAACAGCCCAGTCATTTAGTGGTACTTACAAATACTATGGTTGTTGTTGTTGTTACGTGTCACCAAGTCAGTTCCAAGTCATAGCACTCTTGTATAAGGTTTCCAAAGAGCAGCTGGTGGGTTTGAACCTCTGACCTTGCAGTTAGCAGTCGATTGCTTGTTCTACAGTGCCACATCAATTCTCCTGATGGAAGAGCCATAATTCACCATACCACAGAAGATGTTAAGAGGAGTGAAGTTGACATGAAGCCATAGTGTAGTTGAGTTGGTCCTAACCCCATCTGCGAGCTATCCTTTAAAAAACAGACAGAACGATGCCATGTGATTCTGCAGCTACAAGCCAATGACCACCTGAAGCTATCAGGAGCTGGGAAGGAGGCATGAGACAGATTCTCATTCATAGCTTCCATGACATCCTGGTCTTGGACCTCTCAGTCACCAGATTTACCCACTGCCACTAAGTCAGTTTGACTCACAGTGACCCGACAGGACAAAGTAGAACACAGTACAATCTTTACAGGAGCAGACAGCTTCATCTTTTTCCTTTGGTGCAGCTGGAGAGTTCGAACTGCTGACCTTGTGGCTAGCAGCTCAATGTGTAATCCCCATACCACCAGGGCTTCTGCCTGCAGAACCGTAAAACAACAAATTTCTATTCCTTAAAACCACCCCCTTTGTTGTATTTTGTTACAAAAACCCTAGGAAACTAACATAAATATCAAATAGATATTAATTGGAAAACATGAACTAGAAACTTAGGCTTAGATAAAATATTTCCTTTTCAATGATATTGTTGTTGCTTATTGTTAAGTGCCATTGAGTTGGTTCTGACTCATAGTGACACTGTATAGGGTTTCCAAGGAGCAACTGGTGGGCTTGAACTGATGACAGTGTGGTTCACAGTACAGTGCTGATCCTACAGTGCCACACCAGAAGTCCAATGGTATGTGTGTTCTTTATTATAATTTTATATGGTTCATACATAGTAAGCTCATAGAAACAAAAAGAGACTGTACCTCGAGAGGATGAAAAGCAAACTGTATATTGCAATGTGTTGTCAGTGGTCCAACAATATCTGGGGTTGAATGTAAAGTTCTCAATTCTAGGGTTCAGTTTTAGGAAGTCATTTGCCTATGACTATATGCTATGTCCTGCACCTAATGATACTTATATGGAATTGATTCAGAACTAAGGTAGGGAAAAGATATATCATTATTAGGCCTCCTCAGTGACCTCCAAGAGTCAACTTTCCAGGTAGTCATTAAATACATTTTGATTCCAGAAACATGCAGCATGCCTGAATTGAAGTTTCATTGGATTTGATGAAAATGAAATGGCTCTCTTAGTCTTGAGTTACCAAACATAAAGTCAAGATTTTGCTGAGCTGAGACCAGATGACCATGTGAAACTTAGCCTCTATGTCTCTGAGACCAAAAGAACTTCATGGTGTTCAGCTGCCACTATTGACCATTCTGAAAAGAATCACATGGGAAGGTACTGCTTAGAGTGGGAGAAAAATGTGAAACAACATTCAAAATCATAAGTAAAAGTCCAGGTTTGCTGGTCATATAGAGACTGATGGAACCACCAAGACTTAATTATCCTTCAGGTCTGGAACTGAACTCATCTTTGTGGCTCAACTTTCAGTCACACAGTAGACCTATGGGGTGAGTAATACTAGGGACTTCTTAGATCAACCATGCAAGATCAAAAGTGATGCCAAAAACATTGCACTAAGATCAGTTAGGAGTCCTGATGTGGCATTGTATGATAAGCATTGGACTAGGAGGTTGGTTTGAACTGCAAGATCAGTGGTTCAAACTCACCAGCCACTCCTCAGAAACCCTATACAGGGTTGCTATGAGTCAGAACTGTCTCGATGGCACGTAACAACAACAACAAAAATAACAAGATCAATTAGCTCAAAGAACTAATCTCCCCCCATTTTTCTTTTCATCAAAATTGAAGCTAATGAAGATGGTTTTATAGAATAAATCGTAACTAGGGATGAGTCTTGGATTTACCAATATAATTCAGAGATTAAGTTTCAATCAAAACAGTAGTGTCTGGGAACATCTGCTAAGCCAGTTAAATTCAAGGCAGAAAGGTTAGCTCAGAAAGTTATGGTAACTGATTTTAGGATCCCAAAGTGGTAGATGTCTCCCAAAGGATATAGTATGACTATGGGGGTTTGTTATGAGAAGTTTTAAGAAAACAGAAAACTGCCATGGTGAGGAAAAAAGCCAGGAAAGTTGTGCTGAGGATTTTTTCCCCCATTATGACAATGCACCTGCTCTTTCTTTGAGAATAGCAAGGACTGTCCTAGAAGAATTTCATTGGGAAAC